GGAGTGAGTGTTCATGCTGTTCCACTAGGGTCAATTTTGTCTTTGAAATGGTGCCCCTGCTTCCCCGCTTTCCACGCAATCCTTTATAAACGGTGTACAAACTAAACTGGACCCACATCATCTGCTGTTTTTCCACTGGGAAAAGGTAGAACTGAGCCAGTCAGCAAAAGATTTTTGGAGGTGTGAGATCAGTTCCTTCCCATGCCATTGTGTAAGCTTTTTCTACCTTCTGCATCCAGCCGCTAGGTACTTTGGCCCCACAGGTCAAACAACTGGCCAAAAATCTGGCAAACAGCTGACAGTCGGAGCAGCTCCTACGCAGCATGTTCTCTTAGAGGGCACTCTTCTAAGTCAGGCCCTTTTGAGTGCTTGCCCCAATTTGTAGGTTTTGGATAGGTCCCTTGGGTCACTGATTTTCCACTTCAGTTTGTTGGTCTGACCCACAAACTGCAGGTCACTGAGGAGGTGTGAGCCAACCTTCTGAACTCTGAACCCACCAGGAGCCAACAAAAACAGAAAGGGAGGAGAGAAGAATTTCATTAGGGCCTTCACGGAGGAGGCAGTTTCTAAAGAGACCAAATGCTGAGTTGTTTTGCTTCTGTTCATAAAACAGCCCAGTGCCCAGAAAGAGCTACTGATGATTGGTAAGTTGCTGAGGTCAGCTTGCTGTTTTGGGGGTGCTTCATTTTTTTAGACTAGTAATTACCCAGATAGGAGAAAGTCAGATAACAATTGAGACGCTTCCGTGTACCACCTGCTTCTTTTTCTGGAAGAGTTGTTTTTTGGAGCTTCGAGCATTTACTCCTATGTGTGCAGCTTTTCATGGTGACAGCATTTCAGTGCTGGTTGCTGTCTCTGGATGGTTTACCTTGTTTGTTGGTTTTGTCACTTACAGAAATAATAAATGGCGCATTCGGGCTTGGTGCAGTCGCTTGTTTTTCTATTTGAAGAATTCTTAGTGGTGGTCACCATAAAGCTGAGTATGGGGATTGCTTCTGTGCTCTTGACTTCTTGTTAAGCTCAGGAACACAAACAGACCTGGATTTATGAATAGCTCACCTATAACAGAGTTGCATCTATGATGGATGGGGAAGAACAAATCCTCAGGAAATAGTTCAGTTTTAACATCCTGCCTAATGCAAGGGGGCTGGACCCGATGATCTTGTGAGGTCCCTTTCAGCCCCTTACAATCTATGAATCCAGGCCTGGAAGACAACAATGTCCTGGCTGACTCCCTTACCTCTCACCTCACCTCACCTTGTGGGATTACCCAGGGGAAATGATCTAGGGACCGTAGCTTTGAATACGCCATGAGGATTCCTTCACTACATTCCCCTCCAATCATTCTGCTTCAGCATTGCCAAGAGAGCAGAACCACTGGGTTTTCACAGCCTTTGCTGCCCAAAAGAGACTTCTTTGGAGTGTGCCTTAGCTTTTTTTTTCTTTTACTTATTTTTCATCCCTAGGGCAGAAAAAATAATACACCCTGTACATTTCCCGTAGATTTTCTGAAGGGCTTGCATGTAGTGGAGCCATGCCAAGCCCCTCCTTCTCCAGCTGCCAGTTCCTCACTCCATGGAAGACTCTTCACAGGGTCTGGTGTCATGGCTGACATGTCACATGCGTGGGCAACGCATAGGGGGTGCATGCAGGTGCACATTCATCCCCTGAGATTGGCGGTGCACCCTCTGCAGAAAGGTGCCACCAATACCGCAGGCAGTGCCTGCAGGCAGTCACCACTCCACCAC